GTGTGTGTGTGTGTGTATATATATATATATATACACACATATACATACATATATATATATATATATATATATATATATATATCGTGACATATTCTGCATACATAAGACAGCCATGGACATTTACCGATAGAAAAGGCAGCTGTACCTCATAAGCGTGAGTAGCTCCTGGACTGGACAGAGGCCAGCACCAGCATGCAAATCCAAGCCATGCAAGCGTCTGGCTGAGGCGCAGTGGTATCCATGACTGCCTTGTGTTCCTCTTGGCTTGTTCTTTTCCCCTGCTCTGCAACACACTACCACAGTCCTCCATGCACACGCCACACAGACGCTGGACACTAGTCAAGATGATGGGTCCAAAGTCCTGCTTCTGATCCTCTGCTCAGTCTCACACAAAGAAAGCCGTAAAAAACATGAAGGGAAAAAAAAACACAATCGCTGTCTGTTCTAGCTACTTAAAATGCAGATCCCTGTTCCAGCTCTCTTCACTCAGCTCATGGTTCCCTCACTCGCCCTCTCTGTCTGTCTTCGAACAACTCATGGAGAAAGACGTTTGTCTTCCATACTTGCTTCCTTTGTCTCAGTTATTTATGGTTTTATTTCTAACACCTGCCAGCAGAGGGGAAAGAGAGAGTGAGAGAGAGAGAGAGAGAGAGAGGGAGAGATAGAGAGAAAGAGAGAGAGGTGCAAGTTGCTGTCTGGTGGAGAGGAGAATCTTGCCTAAGAGGGTGTGTGTGTGTGTGTGTGTGTATGTGTGTCTAGATTCCTGTGTGTCAACAGTGGTGCTTTGCAAGTGGATAGCAGGCAGGCAGGCAGGTACTGGAGAGAGAGAGCGAGAGAGAGAGAGAGAGCGAGAGCGAGAGAGAGAGAGAGAGAGAGAGAGAGAGAGAGAGAGCAGGAGAGAGAGGGAGAGAAAGAGGTAGTGCATGGGAATGCATGCACCCGAGTGCGTGTGCATATGTGTAATTAAGTAAGTATCACTTAGGAGAAAGCAAGCAGCTGAGAGGACATGCTCCAACTCAAATCTACTGCTATTAACTCCCTCCATTCCACACTCTGTATCTACAGGACTATGCAAAAGACCACCCTTCATTCATTTAATTTCCAGTCAAAACAGCCATTAAGTACAAGATATTCAATTTTCAGCATCAAGGAAAAAACACAAAACATATGTTTAACAGAAAATTACACACAAACCTTGACAACTAAATATAATTTCCAGGGGTCTTGCTTTCAGTTTTGCAAAGAGATCTGCAAGGAAATTTTTCCACACTTCCATAGTTCAGTCTTGGAAGTTGGTAGGACTTTCTGCTTCTTGCAATCCATGGAATCCCAAACACATTTAATAATGTTGAGGTCTGGACTCAACTGTTCTGAGAGCACCAGCAGCTTCCTTGTTTGATTTGAAGATAAGTTTCTTCTTTTTTATCTATTTGCCTTTCTCAGTAATATCCGCATATAATTTTCTGACTCAAAGCATTAAGTTATCAACTCACAGTGGAAGGATGGACAGAGACATTTGTCGATTTTTTTTTAGATCTGAAGCCAGAGGGGACTTAATTTTCTAGTCTCTCAAGGATGAAAGCTTTAAGTACTATTCATCCGATAGTGACAGTTTTGGTGGTCTCACAGGTCTTGCACGGTTGTTAGGAGTGTCATTTTATCTTCTAATAGTTTTAACTCCAGTTTTGTTTTACTTTAACTATATTCTTCCTTATGCAAGCTGGTAATATTGTAGTAGATCTCCTCAGAAATATGTTCAAACAAAAAAAAAGAAAACTAAGAACTTGCATTAATGGCTGTGTTGACTGGAAATTAAATAAGAGTCTGTATATTCTGTACGTACCACCTGCATGAGGAATCTGTGCTACGCATTTTTGTATCTTCACTTTATGAAGATCACCAAAGTTTCTTATAGAGTCAAACTTTCTTTGCTTTGCTTGAAATAAATGAGTTTACAATGTTAAAGTTTCAATCCATATCTATTTACATCACAGTATATATGGTCCACATAAGCAAAGCGAGAGGGAAAAAAAATGGAAAAATTGGCTGTTTTGAATTCTTTGTTTTTGTGAGGTTGCAGGCAGGGCTACCAAATTACTTTTCATTTAATTTAAATAATACAGGGCAACTAGTCAAAATACAGATAATTTAAATATATCAGTCAACAAAAGACCTGTTTAATTCTGGGGTTAAAGTAATTGGAGACGGTCATGTATTACTAAATTATGACTGTATTTGGTACACAAACACACACAAATGTCATAAGTGCACCTCAGAGAAAGAAATAAAATACAAGAAAAATGTAGAATATGACACCTTTCAAAATAACCTGTAGTGTCTTTTTTGGCCAACACACACAAGCAATAAAAGTGCATATATATATGAATACGTGCCATTTTTTTGCATTTTTCCGAGGCTGTCTGAATTTTAAGGGGCCCTAAGCAACATCCTTTTTGTTAAAATTGAAATTTCAGGAAAAAAAGTGTGCGCTTCTGCGACAAAAAACCTGAAATAATAATTAAAAGTCAGAGTCATCAGGTCAGATTTTGTGCAAGTTTTTCAGACCAAGTCGCATGTCTTTACATATTAACACCATGCACAGGCTCAAAAAGAAGGTGTGGCTCAATGTTTAGGTCTCAAATGCAAAATCAGCATTATTCTCCAACACCAAGTTTTGATGTTACAAAACATTCTTCAGGACTGTGTGCAATTATACAAGTTCATCAGAGAGGTCGCCAAATCCCCAAAATTACATAGTGTAGCTTTAATGTAAGAAAATCTGTGGACTCACTGAGCCTTTTGACAAAATATTTACTAAACTGTATTTAATATTTTGACAAATATTAAATACATTTTTAAGCTACATTTTAAAATACTACGCTTGGTGGCTCGGGGGCTCTAAAAGACTGCTTATACTGCTTACAGCTAGAAATGGTCCTGGCCAAATCACATTACTTTATGAGGATCACCAATAAGCTCCTTGTGGAGTATTAAAGGTTAGCTGCAAGTCTTTTGTTTTTTGTCCAACACGTTTGCCTTCTGCATGTGGGAGGAAGCACATGGACACAGTTATTAGTATAGTATGATGGCCGCTGTCCACGTTTGCATACTTTAGCACTCTAACATGTACTAACGCACTCTTCCTTGAGGCTTAGCAGCAAAAGGAACGCACAGCAATCACAACAATCAAAAAGGAAGCCTCTGCGGGAATAAAAAGAGACAGAGAGAGACAGAGAGAGAGAGAGAGAGAGAGAGAGAGAGAGAGAGAGAGAGAGAGAGAGAGTCAAAGTGCCTAAGGCTACAGAGATTCTTTTTGCCTTTGCACTACTTTGCACAGGCAGAGGTAGAGGGTTTGAGAAATCATTAACAGAACACCTGTCCGCTGCTGACTTCTAATAAATCAAAGAACTTTCATTCCACTTCTCTGCCCTTTCTTAATTCCACAGCAGGGATTTCTCAGGTAAAAGGAGTAAAGCGAACTCACCGTGCAGGTGTGATAGCGCTGTTTGTCTAACAAAGCTGGCCTCCATTGTTTGATTTAATTAGCTGGAATCTGAGAGCGAAAGATCAAGAAGAACAAGGCTGGAAAAAAGTGGGGCAGGAGAAATGCACTCCTCTTGGGGATGTGTTAACAGGAGCTTAAGGTTCCAGCACTACTGCCAACTGGCATCTGATCCCAGCTCTGAAACAGACTGCTTAAATGACTTAGTGTTAGCCTCATCTCATTCAGCTTTAAAACTTGCTCAAACATATTTTTCATGTAATGCTTCCTGATCGTCGTTTCACAATTAACCATTGTCAACGTAAAAAAGAACACCTGGACCTAAACTGAATTGAATCCTTTCACCCTAACATGGAGGCTAAACATGAGAACTGACAAAGTTACACAGTTAACATTCAGCAAACTAGCTTTATTTCAAAACATAATCAGAATGGTCACACAGTCTCAGTGAACATCAGCAAGTATATATTACAGAGAGGCGGTTCATATACCAGCACGTGATGAACCATGGAATAAATACCTTTTACAATCTTTTTTTACAATTACATTTTCTCATTAGTACAAATATAAACCATAGAAAAGCCAAATGATCTCTTTTATTGAGACTTTGTCATATATCATAAACAGTACTGTGCAAAATCAGAGATCACAGTTCTTTTTTTGATTTCAATTGGCCAATAGGTATAACATTCATTTTTCAGGAGATATTTCTGAGGAGATCAGACACAAGACAATCCACTCAATTCACTTGCATAGGGTAGAGAAAAGCCAAAGGAAAAAAATAAAAACTCCTAACAACCTTGCAAGACCACAAACCTGTCACCATCAGATAAAACAGCATTCAAAGCTTTCATCTTTGAGAGACAATCTAGCTCCACTCTTTGATTTCTTGGATTATGCGAAGCAGAAAATGTTATCAACTTCCAAGACTGAACTTTGGAGGTATGGAAAAATATCCTTGCAGATTTCTTTGAAAAACTGAAAGCAAGTCTCACTAAATGAATTAAGACTGAAATATAGGCAATGGGTGAACACAATAAATACAGAAAATGTTATATTTAGGTGTTGAGGCTTTATTAGTATTTAAATTAATTTTCTATTGAATACTTTTTCTGCTTTTTTTTCTTGACACTGGAAAAAGAACAACTTTTTTATTTTAATAAATGAAGGGAGGTCTCTGACTTTTGCACAGCACTGTATGTCTTATATCATTATATCTAATCTTCTTTTATATCTGGACTTTACTACAATGTGATGGAGCAGTTGGTTGAAGGCAGTTCAAATTAAGTCTATATTCATAATCCAGAGTAGTTGCAAATGAACAGCCTCATTTAGGAAGCATTAGAGTCTTGGATTTTTGCATTACAAGTGCACCAGTTACAAACCTCTAAAATGGACACGCAGAAATATGCATGCTCTCTCTAAACCACATATATACTCATCTACCCAGTGAAAACACACACGCTCATCAAAATGACACATAGTCCAAGTGCAAATCTTTAGGAAGTGCCTTCTGAATCTGTGCTGAGGGTATCCAGGCTTGCCTTTCTGAGTGTGCCCCCTCCTGGAGACCCTCTGACCCTGCAGGCCTGCCTCAGGTTGCCAAACGTGTCGCTTGCTTCAACGTCCAGAGCAGATGGAGGATGGACAAAAAGGAGAGAAAAGAAAAACAGGAAAAGAGAAAGAACATCTTTTAGGGTGACGAAATGTGCGAAAGTTAATCCTGATCAGATGTTTCTTTCCCTGTCTCCAAAGTGTGACAGTAGTTTTGTAAACGTGACTTCTCAAAAGGAATGTTTTAAAAACCATTTCTTACATTTGTCTTGAATTTTATTGTTTTCTCTGAGGTTTACTAATGATGCTTTTGTGTGTTTATATACCAAAAACAGATATAATTTTATCTGTATCTGACCTGTGTTGTGATTGTTTGCCCTGTACTGTGCTTGTTTAAAAAGGTGTCCAGGCAGTAACACTTCTCATAACTTCTCTGTGAATATGTGGGGCTAAACTGCTGTAGGTTGAATAGGTGGATATACACTATATGGCCAAAAGTATGTGGACACCTGACACACTTGACTGAGCTTGTTGGACACTACCTTCCTAAACTATGCATATTAATACAGAGTTGGCTCAAAATCGACATTCCAATTAATTCCAAAGATGTTCAGTGGGGTTAAGGTCAGGGTTCTGTCCTCCACTAAACTCATCAAACCATGTTTTTATGGACAGGGTCATAGTCATGCTGGAACTGGAAGGTGCCTTCCCCAAACTTTTGCTACAAAGTTGGAAGCATATAATTGCCTGAAATGTCTTTGTTTGCTGTAGCATTAACACTACACTGGAACTAAGGGGCCCTAACCCTGAAAAAGAGCCCCAGCCCATTATCCCTCCTCCAACAACTTTACTGTTGGCACAGTGCATTCCAGAAGGTAGTGTTCTCCTGGCATCCGCCAAACACAGATTCGTCTATCAGACTGTCAAATAGTAAAGTGTGATTCATCACTCAGAGGACACGTTTCCACTGCTCCAGTCTAGCTGCAGCTTACTTTACACCACTCAAGCCAAAGTTTGGCGCTGCACATGGGCAGCTGCTCGGCCATGGAATCCCATTTCAAGAAGCTTTCGAAACACAGTTCTTGTGCTGATGTTGCACAGTCTGGAAATCTGTAGTGATTAATAAAACAGAGGGTAGGCAATTTTTACATGCCAAGTACATCAGCACTCCGCAGCCTCACTCTGTGAGTTTACAGGGTCTACCGCACCATAGCTGATCTGTTGATCCTCCAAGAAGCTTCCATTTCACAATAATAACACTTATAGTTGACCAGGGCAGATGTAGCAAGCAGAAGCTGGCACCCTAGGACAGTGTCAGGTTTAAAGTCACTAAGCTCTTCAGTATGACCCATTCTACTGCCAGTGTTTGTCTGTGGAGATTACGTGGCTGAGTGCTTAATTTTATACCCTTGTTAGCAATGGGTGTGGCTGAAACACCTGAACTCAATAACTAGGAGGGGTGTCCACATACTTTGGCCATCTAGTGTATAACCTTTAGTGTTCCCTTTTATTAAAAAAGAGGAAAACTTAGTTTTCATGATATGTGCCCTTTGAAGTGTATTAGGTTAAAAAAAGCTGTCCTATATTTTTTACTTTGTAAGTACTGAAGTGGCTGCTGTCTTTGAGTGGTAACATTAAAAAATCAACTGTACTCACCAAGTCCTGGTACTCTATTGCAAAGACTACTCATGACAAGAAAGAAATGCACAACAAGAAATATGTAAGGTGCATGGTCAGAACACAGGGACGTACACACCACACTACCACATCACCAACACCACAACAATAAACACTGCTCTTCCATACCAGCTGAGGAAATGAGTGGGAAAACGCACTGTGACACACTGGGAGAAGCTACTTTTCTAATGGAACGAAGAAACTAGGTTAATTTAGAAAAAGTGTCACAGTAAATGGCCCAGAAAACTCTAAAAGCACTGCTAAATATACATATTTTCCCCTCAACCACTGCCAGAAGGGGCTGTCCAAACATATATATGTAATGAAATGTAGGTTAATTTGGTATTTGTATCAAAAAGTGAAGAGGCCAAGAACAGAGCCCAGAAAAGCAACTATAACTAAAAAGCCCCTGCTCCATTTCCACAGTGAGCGTAATTACATTTCAGACACCATTATGGGGCTTTTGTATAATATCAGGAGAAGTGGCAATGTCTATTGTTGAGTCAGCAGGGATTTGGGAAGAATGAGGAACACAGGGAGAGTATGGTGTTAATGAGAATTATCTAAATGTAAATGGATTGACTTGCACTCTCTTAAATAAAAGAAGCTGAACTATTAAGTTTAATCTATGCCACATCTGTGTTGTATAGTCGATCACCACGTACAATAATTGTAACACATTTCCCTGTAAAAGAAAACCTGTTTGAAAAAAAAAAACACATTTATAATAGAACCCAATGGAAAGCTGCTAAAAACTTTGAATAACTGTTCATGGAACAAACATATTTTTGTAGAACCCTTTATGAATGACTTACTTAAGGTATTTGTAAATTAAGATGCTAATCTGTGCAACTAGTTTTCCAGAGTGAAGACTTCATGGTAACTGAAATCGAAATTCAGGACACACTCTGCCAAATGGAAAATGAGGAAAATGGTTCTTATATTGTAAAAAAATTCACCTGTGGCCTGTGCAAAAGTTATGGCACATTATACATTTTATGGTATATTTTTCAGACAGAGTAAATAAACAGAAATTGTACACTACATTTGCATAAAAATCTCACATTTTTATTTAAAATATTAATTATAATTAATAATAATGTTAAAAATTAAGTTAAATAAGCTGCAAAATTATGCAAATACAATACTTCACAATTACTTTATAATACTACTTTATAATACTTAATTGTTTCCCAAAGGCATCTAAAACTGAATTCCAGAGTGCCTCCACTATAAAGACAGAGAAAACCTTGTTTTTTTAATATATAAAGCAGGTGGACATGGCTTTGGACCTCATGTTTAACATTCTGAGGTTTCTCCAGGACGTAAGTTGCTTTAGTGCTCCTTGAGTGAACCTCAGTAGGACCTAACGAACACATAGGTTTAGAGTACAAACGAGAGGGGAAAAATGTTCATTACCAAAACATTACTCACATTATTTATGTGTTTTCCATTAAGGAACTAAATTAAATTCATTAATGTTTAAAAGCATGTAAACTAAAGACCATACAGAGCACAACTACAACAGACTGTATTCGTGTGTTTCACTGCTGCTGCTGCTCAAGCTGTTTAAATACATCTGTGCTGACCTTCACAAAGCATTTTTATCACTATTTCTCATTTTCCTTAGCATTCAGATTATATGTTAGATGTCACATTTTTAGATTTCACTGTGCACCTATTTAATCTTTTGCTTTTTTCAGCCATAATTTTCAGCCTTATTTCTCTTTTCTGTGGCAGAAATTTCAGTGCATCCCTACCTTATGGAAAGCAAAAGTAACTAGAACTTTGTTTTTACTTTGTTAAACTTCATAAAAACTGCATTGGTTAGACATTCGCATGTATCTATTCTTAAGACCTGTACTGTTAAAGGGCCTAATGGCCTACATTTTTCTTGTATTTTAGGTTTTCCCTGATGTTCGCTTATGACATTTATGTGGTTTTATGAATGAAAAACAGTTGTGATTCATTTTCAAGTGACCATTTCCAACCTCTCCTCATCACTTAGAATTAAACAGGCTGTTTTTGTTGCTATGGCTTTAAGATTGATATATGTGAAGGAACTTGAACACTTTTTACAACTTCAGCAGGAATGGGCAGAACTAAACTGCTGTAAAGTGAACAGGCAGATTTTTATAAATGTGTTAGGTTAGTTATGGTGACATCACAAAACAATGAATTCAAAATGCTTTGTCTATATATGGACAATATGGTCTTGGAAACCTTCATAATGATTATATGCAACATTTCTGTAATAGTTGTTCTATTTAGTGGTATATTGCCCCATAATTTACAGAATTTAGCAGATTCCCATTGGCTACACCAGTGGTTCCCAAACTGCGGTACACGTACCCCCAGGGGTATGTCAAATGACGTTGTGGGTACTAAAAGGAAATTCTGATGTTCAATGTTTACACTTCATTTAACCTTCATTTCATTTCATATTCCCAGCTACAGACAAGACAAACAGCTCTGCACTTCACTCACCAACTGCTGAACAAGAGATCCTAACTAACACTGTGGATCTCTGAATACAGAGTTGATCTAAAGCCAATGCCAGATTTCTAGATAGCAGCTCTTGTGTATATGCATGGATGATGAGTGAATGAGATACTTATAACATCCATCACATGACAAGTGCATGCTCTTTATTTTTTTTAATTGTATAAAAGGCTGCGTGGGACAAGAATTTGTTTCAGTCTGGTCCCTTCTGCCTGTCTCGCGTTCTGGAGAAGCTAAGCTATTGCACACGTGTTAGTTAGTTGTTAAGGCCTGTATGATCCTTGTTAGTTCTTTTTATACGTGAGTTTCACTTTCACAGACCTGTTTCAGTTCACAAGGGATTAGTCTGTAGCTGCTGTGATTACTGCTTAGCTATTAGCATTTTGGTTGTGTGTTTATAGAGCTGGTCGAGCTGTAGGGCTGCTGAACCTAAACGAGTGCTGTAAAGTTGGTTCTCTTTCAACATTTGTATGGTATCTCACTATGGGAAACACACTCTGTGTGACTGACCACAGAAGCACTAATGGCACCATGTCTGCAGTGCCAACTGACACACCAATCACAAGTGTGATTCAGGAGCCCCCACCTCCCTCTTATAAATTGCTTCGGTTCTCAAGTTTATCCATTATTGTACTCTTCCCTCAGCCTGCTTGAACTAGCTGGCTCTCCACTCAATCGTTCTTTAGACAAGCCTGTTGCGTCTTGTCGCTATGGGAGTTGGCAATCCTGCCTGCCGCTGGGAGCACCTTCCAAGCAAATAACCACGACCTAGCTTGTCCCTGGCTAGCCCCGCAGAAACTGTACAAACGTTAGCTAATGTGTTACAGCAACCTAACCCCCTATTAGCTAACGCGTTAAGGCGAGCTAACTTCCTACTAGCTAACG